AAAAATACCCTGCTGAAACCCTGGAAAGCTATGGTCAATCAGGGCTGATAGTAGCAACCAATGGTCTGATCCCCTTTGTTGTTTATACCCCTGAAGAACTTTGTACTTGATCCAGCTTTTTGCTAAGAATATACTGTATTTGGCTGCATGTGTGGTTGATATGTGAGGCCTGAGAATGATGGATGAGATTTTTGTACCACAACCCAAGTTGAAGGACGTGCTTCAACTTTTAGCCAGAGGAAATATAACAGTTCAAATAAAGAACCTAAGAGAAACGGACTTTCCCTGGCACATAATTCCTCCCCTGACTGTAACATTCCCAACTACTGTACTTACCTTCATGCTGCATATCTCCTTCTACCTTTATAGTTTTTCTGCAGTGGGATATCATAACCCTTCTACTTTCCACCCACCCACCCCATAAGCTCAATGTGTCATGCTACATTTTACTCATATAATCCTTCTAGTACTTCTTCTTGCACCAGTCCCAATATAGAGGTTCTGCAACTTAATATTTGCAGATTTGAACAACTGTGTCACAGATACTTAATTTTTCATTGCTTTCTATATAAAATTATTCATTTTGTTAGGATAACCCATATCCATTAACTCAGTTGCAAGTTGAACCACAAAACAAATTCCTCAGGTCAAAGGTGCCATTCGCCTTTCTCCTCTCCTACACTTGTGTTACCAGCACTCAGTTGGTTAATCACAAAGAAAGTTCAAGTGGGTGTTCTGTGCATCTGTTGACACCTTCCCTAAATCCTTAAACATTTGCACTTTGGGGCCAAAAGCAGTTGGGTGGCAGCTTCCTGCACCATTTGGCCTCTGGCGTTCATTCCTCACTCTGTGTGCCTGTCTCCTAGACAGTGAAATATGGCCACAATTAGCCCGGATACAGTTCAATTATGATAAACAGTGCTTGCACCCTTTAAGCCGTGATTAAAAGGCCTCCCCCCTTTGATAGAGAGACCTAATTTCACATTATTATCGCTGCCGCTTGATTATAAAGCACTCCCTGGATTTACAGTTAAGAGATGGATGTGGAGGCGCTGCTTTATCATTTACACATCAGTAATGATGCAGCTGTCCCTCTTCCACAACATCCATTTACTTGCAGGGGTGTGTGTTCTGCTTTCCTCCCCCGCCAGAGTGGCAGCGCCACCCCATGTCATCCAGGGCCTGCCTGCCACATGCAAGTGGGCAAAGTCACCCTTACGGTAACAGCGTGATGAATGGGCGCACACTAATGAAATGGAGACATCAAGGCGTGGGGCGAGGAAGAAAGAGTGCTGATGGGAGGCAGCGGAGCTGTCCCGAGTCGGAGGGGAGCGGGAAGAAGGATCGCCTCGCCACCGTGTGCTGTCAAGGGAGAAATTACACATTTACTCTTGCTTTTTCTTAAGGAGACGGCCACCATAGATCAAAACATGGATTTACAAGCCAATTTTCAACATGAAATATAGACACCAGGAATCAATTTAAGCCTTGCTTCTATTTTAGCAACTCTGCTTGTGTTTAGTCCCAGGTAAATAACATGAGCCAGCTTGGCCCTGCTTCCCTCTTAGAGCATATTCCATTCCCCTGTGAGCTGTCTACTCGCCCCACCACCCTTATTTTTGTCCCAAGTACAAACATTCTACCAGATTTGTGGAAAGCAGCAAGAATTTATACTGGAGCTACTGGGATGTTTAATTGACATCATCATAAAAAGTATTTCATACATTCCAAATAATCAAGTCTTAGTTGCTTGTGCAAGTGTCCTGTAATCAAGAAAATCTAAACTCCCATTCTAGAAGTTGATTTGTAGTCCTCGTGGTTGGGTTTTGTAAGGACTGCACTTTCTGCTAACATCTCAGAGAGGAGAGAGAGAGATGGATGGAGCTGTCAGGCATTTTACTATATTTGAAACTTGGGGCGGGGTCAAAAAGTACATCTCTGTTGTTCACAGCTGTTTTGCCAAACCTGAGAAACTACAATTAAGGCATCATTTGTAATTTGTGTAAATTAGAATAATTCATGATTTAAGTACATTTCTTTTTTTTAAAAGGCTCAGTTTTCCTGAACACATTTTGGCAGAGCAGTTCTTGCAGATGGGGCCAGCGTGAGGCCATTACTTGTTATCTTCCCATTGGAGTCACTCTGATGCTGTTGTTTTTTGCTCTCTCTCTCTCTCTTTCCCCACAAACACACTCCAAATTAGTGGTACTGTGGAGCATATACACTCTTTAGTGTCTGCTGTGTGCATGCCTTTATTTTAGCTGACAATTATTTTAGATCACTACTGTCCTGTGTGCTGTTCCTGTTGTGAGGTTGTCTCACTTGAACAGAAGCTAGAATGTTTTGTATGCAGCCTTGTAAGTGGTAGGCCTAGATGGCTTCCATGTGAAAAACAGCAAAAAATTATGGTATTAAAAGCGCATTCAACATCAAGAGATGCAAATCCACATTATGAATATCAGGGGTATTTCTAATCAGAAGTTGTACCAGTAAGGTTTCCCCTGCCATTCTGAGCAGCTGAGATACTTTCCCATCCAGAAAGCAAAGGCATAGAGTGGGGAAGTAAAAGAAATGTCAACCTCATTCCCATTAATCTCAAGATGTGGTGCTAGAGTTTTTGGATGGTTATTACAACCATGTTCCCAATAAGAAAAATATGTTATTTAAAAACATGCTGAGCAAGGCTATTGAGGACAGGATGTTTTGGAGATCACTTATTTATAGAGTCGCCATAAGTTGGAGGTGACTTTACGGCTCATAACAACAACAAAATGAAGAAAAAATGTATAAATGTTTTTTCTTGGGTCAAGAATATAGCCTACGTGGTATGGCAGGTACAGACCCAGAGGCAAAATAAGGCTCATGTCCAGTTCCTGCCTTAGCTACAGACCTAATGAAAAAGATCACAGAACTTTTGAAGGAAATGTAATCTAGTCCCCATATTGAGATCTGTCCTCCATGCTGCAGTATCTTTAATTAACTATTAGAGAATCTCCTAAAGATTCAAATACTAATCATACCTCACAGATAAGCCTCAAACTGAAGCACATTGGGTCAGGGAACAGAATGATAAAAGCAGAAACACAGCGCTACATATTATAAAGGAAAGAAGTAGTAAATTTGGGACAGTTTTGCAACATAAATAATTCTGAGACAGGAAGACATTTTCATATGAAATGTCCTTTTGGAGTTTATTTCACTTCGGTTACAACACAGGGGTTCTATTCTGTCCAGCACTCTTCAGTGCACAATAGCTGTCACGTAGATGTTGCTGGCCGAGGGAGGGAGGGAGGGCCTGCGCTGCATGTGCAGGACATCAGGATTATGTAGGTGCTGCAATCGAGCAACTCCTATGCCCATTTCAGAGTTCTGTCTAGCAACAATTTCCAAGCTGGGCCCTCATCCCCTCTTTGGTGGTGGTCAAGTACTGCAATGTGCATCTTATTATACACAGTTATTTCAGGTCTGTTGTAACATCTCCATCTGTCTAACGGATGGCAGCCATTAGGAGGAGCCAGCAGTGAAAACTGTCAGTCCTTCATGACATCAGTTTTTAATTAAGCTTTGAAAGACTGGCCAGAAATAGGTCTTCAAAGGTAGTAGCGCTCCCCCAGTCTTTAATTTATTAATTTTAAAACTTTCTATGCCATTCTTTCAGTATCAGAAGCAATACAATATACCAATAAAATTAGAGAAATAAAAGCCAGCAAACAAAAATATTTAAAATTAAATTAAAATTAAAGTCTTTCTCTCTCTCTCTCTCTCTCACACACACACACACACACACACACTATAAGGCCCATGACAAATTATCTTCCCCAGGCAGACATTCCAGTGTTGAAAAATAGTTTTCTGTAGATGTATTACCTCCAGTGATAGTAAACAGTGAAGTCCTTCCTCTACAGATCTCAGATTATTAGATAAACTGGGACGCAAGATATCCCTTCATATAAAAGATGCCCACGTCATTACGGGTGATCACCAGCACTTTGAATTGTGCATAAAAGCAAAGGAGGAAGCCAGTGTAGCAATAGAGTGATAGAACTCTAGTCAGAACACTTAACAGTCACATTCTGAGCCAGTTGAAATGTTTGAACTAGTTTCAGGGGCAGCCCCACATAAAACGCATTACTGAAAGGTAGTGATCAAAAACATGGATTGTAGCAACTAGCAAATCAGCCAATGTGATAAAAAGTGGCTCTGAGACATGAAGGCTGATGTGTAGTAGGACGGCCTGCATCCATAAGAATCCCGATGTTTTTTTCTAGCCCAGATTTTCTGGTGAGGGGGATGGGTTCCCTGTGGATAACACCAATACTTGCTCTCAAACCTCTACTTTATATTGGTTCTGTACCACATTCTGAAGTGGAACTGAGGTAGAGCCACATTAATTTGTCCACAAAACTGTCAGTTATAAATCAAACAGTTAGAAGCAGCGATGGAAAGCTTTGTGTTAGAGATTGGTTGCTTAACTCTGGTGATTAGGCAGAAAAATAACCATTCTGTTTTGTGTTTGTCAGTACAGAAAAAGTAGGCTCCTTGTAGTACTCAGCTGGGAGAGTGCATGGGTGGACAACTAGAGTAGACAGCAGCTCCATGTGGCTCATGGCTCCTTGAGGACATCAAAAAAAGTGTCTGCAGCATTAATCAAACAATCCTGCTCCCATTATTCTTATGCTACTCAATGGTGAAATGAAGAATTGGTATATTCAGATTAGAACCTGTTTATTGGAAAAAGCAGAATGCAGCATAACCAACATGAAGATCTTGTTGCATCCGTTGTCAAAAGTTTGAAATGAAAACTGATTTCCAGCCTGTTGTATTGCAAAGGAGTGACCATATCATAAAGTTGTTTGTGCACATATGCTCAAATGTCAGTGTAATACAATTTGTCTGAATTTTGGTATGGATATGGTGTGTGTACTCAGGGTTCTTGTTGTCTAATATTTTCTTACCTGAAACTTTAAAGTGGCTGGTTTTATGCTTTCTCTGGCCAACAGATGACTGCAAGAACATTGCCAACATCATGAAGACACTGGCTCACAGAGGGTTCATCTTCAAGCAGACCTCCAAGCCCTTTTGATCTCCGGGGCCGGCCGGACAGGGCTGCATGCGGCCGGCTCCTGCTATGTGGGCGTGATGGGCTGGAGCTTTCAAATGACAGAAAGAGGACAGAGGAACAAGGAACCCCACATCTCCGTCAGTTTTGCTGTTCTGCCAGTAGAGGCTGTATATATGGAACTGGAATCTCTGTGTAGGCCTGACGTGACTCCCTCTCTGGGGCCAGCTGCCTGCCCAGCCTGCAGCCCCCTAGGGCGCTTGCTCCACATGGTTAGAGACGTAGATTGTTTTCCCTTTTGTTGGCTTCTGATTTTCATTGGCGTCTTTCCCTCTCTCTCTTTCTTTCTCTGCTCACATTTGCGCCTGTAGTAAGACCATGGCGCTATGTTCAGGGCACTTGCCCTTATTATTTTGAGTACAGTATTTCAACAGCTGCAGTCAAGCCTTTCTCCCCTTTTTCCTGTGTGAATATGTTACTGTGTCTCCTGCGTGTCAGCTAAATATTGACTGGGCAGCATCCAGACAACCCCCCTTTCTTCAACAGCCTCTTTTCCTGTGCCCATCTCATCTGTTTTAAAGAAACACTAACTCTAATTCCCCCAGATGTGACTAAGGAAGCTTGGCTCTTTCTGTTCAAGGTAAAGTGCCTGTATTCCCCACCCACCAAAAGCCCCCTGTCTCCCTGGGGCTTCGTTCAGCAGGGAGTATTGTAGGCTGGAGCATCCTGGTTGATGCTCATCACCATGTACAGCATCTCTGGCACCCTGGCTCATGTCTCCTCAGACATGCATCCATGTTCTGTTTGTGCATGGTAGCCCTCATATCATGTGATCCATTGCTGGCAGTGGACATGCCCATTACTAGTGGCCTGGCGGGATGTGTTTCCAACTTCAATACTCATGGGGAACCGTAACACAACTATCTCTTCCCCTTTACTAAAAGTGACCACTGGTTTGTTGCATGATAGGTATGGCCTGTTCTTCCCATCTGATTTGCATTACCTTTGACCAGTACAGGAGGAAAGAGATCAAATAATGACCTTTCCTCCCCCTCTCAATGGTTTCCTGAACCCTTCTACCCTCCCTTTAGCCTTTGCTGAATGAATCCCCAGGTGGGTAGGCTCTAGCTGCCACTGACCTGGGCATCACGCCCAGAGGGCTCTGCCTATGCAGCAGTCAGGCTGTGAGTTGATACAGGCACTGGGCCTTCTGGTAAATAATAATGCATGGTGTGTGGATGTTCCAGCTGAACCCAACCTGACCTCTTCATCAGCTCGTTACTCCCATTCTTGCTGTAAATGTGCCACATGAATAAAGTTTGGGGGAAAGGAACCTGACTCTTTCTTGTGATGAGATTTGGGGCAGGGGTGATGTGAGAAATCTCTTACGGAGTGCACTGGCTCCCTCTTTTTCCAAAATTCCTCAGATGCTCAGAACTGAGCAGCTTTCTCCTCCACTTTCGAAAGGCCACAACTTGGGACTGTTCAGTCACAGAATGCTTGAATCAGCCAGGGACAATTCAAGCATAGAATACATAGGATGTACAAACCAGAGGAGCCCGGGCGAGCCTGTCAGGCTTGTACACCCTCGGCTAGTGCAGGCAGAATCTGTAAACAGAAGTGGAATTTATTTATACAGTGCAACACATGTGTACACACCAATTCACACTGCATTTACATGCAGAATGGTGCATCCTCTTTTCTCTATTCATTAGGAAAACAGGAGTGCTAAGCCTGACACTATGAAGTAGAAAAACAAATCTGAACACTGAAGGCCAATGAATAATTACCAGATGTTTGTTTAGTGCTGTATGACCTAGGATAGCTTTTGCACAAATGTGAGGACGTCATATGATTTATCGGACAATGACAAATGGGAGATAGAAGGCTGCACAAGCTGCTTAGAGTACATAATGAGTGACTGCGTAACTTAAGAAAAAGCCAAAAATAAGTCATTGCCCATTTAAGTGGTGCTTTTTATTTTTCCTGACAAATGCAGCAGGACAGACTATTTTAGTCTGCTTCCTTTGAGCCACCCCTCTCTGGTTCATTTATGGCAAGACTTTTTTTTCCACATTATCCATGTTCACCTAGTAAGAATGACAGGAACGAACAGCTATAGCTAGGCAGCAGTGCCAGGAAAGACTGTGTTCAAAACCACCAACACCAGTCACCCACTCACTTTATGGGGTTTGCCATCCAAGGCATTAGAAAATATAACTAAGTCTCTCCTACCTCAGGTTAGGGACTTGGGATCAAAGGTCACAGGAATTTTAATGGCTCCCTCTGTGTAATCACCTGATCAGTTTTATTGATTCAGTGTCGATGGAGTCGTCTAATTAGTTTTCTATGAAAACGAAGAACTTGGCCTTTGACCTTTCTTTCTGCCAGCTAGAATGTAAATCAAAGGGCGTTGTCATGCACTATCGATTCCCAGTTGCACTTGAGAGGGGAAGTGGAGGGTAGAGCATGAGTTAGGCCTGACAGCTGCAGGCCAGGAGTGTCATAGCCCTTTCCCGACATGTAGTTGATGGAAGATGAGAGCTTTCCATTAGATTGGAGCAAGTGTAATCTATGGGTAAAAAGTCAGTGTGCTGGCGAAATTCCAGACCACACTGGCTGTAGGACCAACTCATAGTCACACTAAATATTTAAAGCTTCTTACTGCTGAGGGCTGGGGAGCTCCTGCACTCCCGTCTTCCATATTTGCTATACACTATCAAAGGCAAAACAGAAATCTCAGACAGAAACAATCTGTTGCTATTAAAGGCGAGTAATAGACCTACAGCTCTGTGTTGCATACTAAAAACATCAACATCACACCAAGAAATTGGAATTCTGTAGTCTGTATATATTACATAAATACCCATGTATTTGCTCAGTTGCATTTTTTGTGCGAGAAAAATCGAGGGCTAAGCAGCCAAGAAAATCACTGAAACCTCGTGTGCCAAAACTTAAAAACTTACTCAGCATCCTCTGAGTTTGGAGATTTTAGAAAATATTTTTCACATGTTTTCTATTCAATATTGGTACCCACAAGTCTCAAAAGTATTTTCAGGATGCTGAATTCAGTGGCAAATATTGTTATTTTTCTGCCACTCACTGCATATGCAGTCCTAGTTAAGCTGACCCGAATGTCAATTTTTACACAATCATTGCAATCTGTTGTAGCTAAAGCTGGTTCCAGCCATCATCTTGCATAGTTTAAAAACCATCATGAAGTTAGCTGACACCACCACTTGCCAGTAAGCAAGGCAACAGGGCACTTTTGGATGGTACAAGATGACATTTCCCTGCACAAAGCAATGCTAGGAGGCTGCAGTTCTAAAGTACAGTGGTGCCCCGCATAATGAGCGATTCGTTTAATGACGAATCCGCATAGTGATGTGTTTTTTGCGATCGCAAAAGCGATTGCATTGCAATGTTTCTAATGGTAAAACATTGCTTTGTGATGATCGGTAAGCGTTCGCATAGCAATTTTTTTAACAGCTGATTGGCGGTTCCAAAATGGCCACCAGGTAAAGAAAATGGCAGCCTGCTGTGTTTTCGCGCCCCTTCCTCGCTTACCGGGCAGCGAAAATGGCAGCCGCATAGAGGATTTCCACAGAATGGTGAGCTTTTTGCCCATAGGAACGTATTAAACGTGTTTTAATGCGTTCCTATGGGCTTTTTTGCCCCGCATAGCGACGAATCCACATAGTGACGATTTTTTCGGAATGGATTATCATCGCTATGCGGGGCACCACTGTATATGCAGTGAATTTAGTGGAACCTACATTCAAGTAAACACACAGAGCACTGTGTCATTAAAAGCCTCAATAACTCCACACATTAGCACAAGGAAATCAGTATACAATGGATGGGCATGTGTTATCACAAACACAGTGGAACAGAATACTTTGGCGAGTCACAGATCTGAGAATTTACCTCATCCATCTAAGAGGCAGAGAAATTAGGAAAGTAACATTTCCATCACTAGGCTGGATTAAAGATTTTGGACTGACTAAAAGGTCCCCATGATAAATCAAGATGGAGGGGTGTTGTACAAGAATTTATACAAACACACAGGCACTATCTGAGCAAAGTCATCCACTCAGCACAACAGAAAATGCCTCTTTAAATACAGAACCTATTGCAATGAATAAATATATGCATCAGTCTGAAACAGAATATTCCATCCTCCAAAACTATTGACTAATTTGTATGTAACACATGCAAATTATTCAACCATATTTCTTCAATCAGATGAAGTTTTGGGGAAAAGACTAATTTTATAGAATTCCCACAGGATCACATAATGCTCAACCAGGGCTAAATGTTCTTTGGTGTAGTCAACGTTCATGGAAGATTATGCTCCCACCAGTGGTACTAGACAAAATGAAAGAGACCAGTAATTCTAAACAGAATGGGCAATTTTCTTTGCAAAAATTGCTATATGAAAAACAATTTGTTTATGCAGCTTTCCCTCAAGACCCTCCCAGTTTGGTTTTATCTTAAGATCTAGAACCCAGCCTTCTGCACCATTATGGGCTACATAGCCCCACCTCTATAGTGATTTCTTAAATGCAGCATCATAACATGAAATCTACATCAATTCCAAAAATCTTGCAATCCTGACGGTCTGGTTGACTGATTGTTTAGCATTTAGTTCCTGCCCAAGCTAATTTAGGAAGAAATATAGGAAAGAGAGAGAAAAATAATTCCTTATCACTGTGCAGGTGTTGACACTCTGCCCTCCTCAATGTGCACCTAATTACTTCTGATTTAGATAATGGAACAAGAGACAATGGTTTCTATATGCACAAGGAAGTCTACAAAAATTAGGCACAGGAAAGACTACACAACAACCAATATGAGGCCATTCTTCAAGCGTCTCCCAATCCTTTACCTGGGGCAGCCATAGCCTGTTCTGGAGCAGGAAAAGGCAATGTCACTAAAAGAATTCTCCGGCAGGAAATATTGCCATAATACTTGACAAATGGAGCCATCCTGTCCCCACAATCTAGGAGCTGATATCTTGCATTATTTATGGCTTCTTCACCTTTTTGACAGATGAGGAACTGGAAGCAGACTCCCTGCGCTTTCTCTGTTTAAACAAAAATCAAGAGAGACATGTGAACAAGTTAGATAGCCAGGCACCTGATGCAACCACTGGATATGCCATAAAAAGATAATCGCTTGATAAACTCATGGTTTCAGGTTATATCCAGACAGAAGATCAGGAGAAAAATCACGTGACAGTGCCTGAAAAAGCACAGGCCAAGATCTGGTATATTAAAAGTTCTGGATGGCAAGGAGAAAGGAACGTGGACACACATAACAGTTATTCAACAGCAATGAAAAAACACTGGCCTTGTAAATCATTTCAGTGCAAACTAATGGATGGATGGAAGAAAAGGAAAATCTGATAGCCAAATCACACAGAACAGGGGCAGTTGGTACAAAGTAAACTTGCCTGAGCCAGTCTTTCTGGCTTCCTATCCACCATCTTCCTTTAATTACTTTAAACGTTTTACGTATAAATGATATGAGAGCCTGTACTAGTAACAAAGTAACTTCTTAGGGATGTATCTGTCTTGTACTGTTGAGAAATCTTGTCTAAAATAGTTGACCACATGGATTCAGAAAACCAGCTTTTGCTTAGTGGTGAAAAATCAGCAGCACTTCGTTAGTAGGCATCATTAAAAAAAACAAAGTCTCATAAGGGGAGGGGGGAGAGGAAGGTACAGGTTGAACAGTCTGCCCAACCTGAAAACAAAGGAGAGGGGGCTTAAGAGCTTGCCAGCAAGGCTGATAAATTAATGGAGATGAGCGTGTGTGTTTGATAATCTTTATATGGCAAAAGAGCCATGTTTCAAATATGTCACAAATTCATATCAATCACCTTCCTGGCTTGGCTCTGCCTGTCGCTGTGGGCAAAAATGTAAAGTGTCTGGTTAGGAAAAAAATGTTCCACATGATAATTTACAAGAGCCTGGGAACCTGGTTCTCTCTTAATGGAAAGGAATTATTTTAAAATGAGCATTTTATTTTATATATATCTATATATCTATTACACTTTCTCTCACATCATGGGTAGATATACACATTTATATATGAGAGAGAGTGTGTGTGTGTGTGTATGTGAGCAAGCCAGCAGAGCTTTCTAACTCCATCTGGAAGGAAGCATGTTTGATGTTAACAATGTAACTTCTCACTTTCAAGCAGGCTCAGAAAACAAGGAGCCGGCAGGAGTTCAGATAAAGGCAGCTTAAAAGTCAAATGATTCTGACTCTGAACCTGAGACTTCTTAGAGGCAAGGTCCTTTCCTTTCCCCATTAATGGGCTGACTTGTGAGCCCAGGAACAAAGTGCGCTGATGTGAGGAATTCTGAGGAGAGTCAACTCATTATGGATGGGCGAGTGGAGTCTGAGTCGCGCAAATCAAAGGCTCTAATCTGGAGTAACTGGTTGCACTTCTGCTTGGAACTAATTTGCTCCAAGTTAGACTCACCTTTCACCTCCCAAAGACCCAGTGTAGCGTCCCTCCTGGGTCAGCAGATCAGTGCCTCGGCGAGGGGAGGCTACTTTCACTGTGGGCCGCCAGCAGTGGACGCCACATTGGAGGATCCCAGAGGGTGTTAACAAAAACAGAGGCACCCTGGATTGAAGGGAAGCTGGCAGCCAGATGGACGCAAGCCAAGCCCATGAAGGTAACACTTCCAATCTGAAAGAAGTGGATGTGCACTAAGACTTTCCCTGGCTGTGGCACACGGATGCTTAAATACAAGACCATCATTCTTCCATATCATATATGGAAGAACGATGGTCTTGTATTCAAGCATCCACATGCCACAGCCAGGAAAAGTCTTAACAGTGAATATCCATTTCCTTCAGATGGGAGAGGGAATGATGGAAGTCAAAACATCTGGAAAATGTCACCAGAGCAAATTCAATTCCACTGGAAACAAGGCATAAAGAAGAAACGATGTCTCCACACATAAATAGATACATATTAGGGATCCATGTTACATAATCACCATTTAACATGAGATGTTTGGAGGGATGTAGCTTACTCCACCTGCTCTCAGCAAGAAAAAACACTGTAAAAACTATGCATGTAAAGATTTAGGCACTGGGAAAACACTCTGGGTCCTGTTGGTCAGAGTTGTGTGGTTACACTCCCAAATACCTCTGAGAGCAGCAGAATCTGCTTTGAAAAGGTAGGAGGCACAAACATATACACTCTACACCAAAATGAGCTCAAGTTCTCTCATTAAAAGAAAAAGCAAGCAGACCTTGCTACCTGGCCAACTTTTGCTTAGAGTCTTGGACATCCACTCTGCTTCACCAGCCAACCATGGAAACAAAAAAGCTACTGTATCTAGTCTTTATTCTCTCCAAACCCTCAAATGATACAAGGACTGAGAGATACAAAGTTTTACCAAGGCAGCTAAATGGACATTGCATGGTATACTTTTGTTCCCATACTGGTAAGGGGATAGCCCAAAAGGGCACAATGTCCAAGGCTGAAAATAAACTCACAGTTTCTCTGACTGGCAGCAGTGTCATCCCCTTTCAGAACACCTCCATGCCTCTTCCCCTCCATCTTGGTAGCAACAGTGAACCTCGCTGAGCTGCCCCCTCCTGCTGGGTGGAATTTCTTTCCCCTCCAAAGACAGCATAAAGTGGTCACCGTGTGAATGCGCTTGACCTTTTGTCTTGGACTAATCTAATTGTGTCGTCTTTGTGTAACCAGCCGGTAAAGGTCAGAGCTGTATTTAACGGGGGGGCCTTTAGGTACCAAATTTGCCTTGCAGTGAATTAACCTGATTATATTTCTTTCAAATATGTCACAGCCCAGATCACGTTAACCCTCTTGGTGCTTCTTTCATTCTCTTTGTTTCCATCCCAAGCATGAGGGTCGAAGAGAACAGGGCTAGGAATACATATGAGTACAACACTCTAAACAGACACATGTCAATGTAAAGTCTCTATAGGGGAGAAAATGGTTCTGAGCCAGACTGTAAAGCTGATGAGGAGCCTTTCTGAAACCCTAGACATGAGTGAGATTTCATTTCTTCATAGAGAGATAGCACACAGCAGCTCAACAGCACAGTCTGCATCAACCTACAGGAAAGCCTTCTATCTTAGACCAAAAACTGAAACAAAATTCAATTTTACCTTTAGACCTGATAGAGGAAGTTTCTTTAAGATCAAACAATAATGAAGCCAATTTTTTAAAGATCTTAACACACTGCTGTGACAACATACTGCACAGCCATTATGTAATGGGCAAAAAGGGTTTCATGGCAGGCTGACTAACTGTGAGATCACATCCATGTTAAACGAGAGTAATTGGATTAGTCCCACTGACACCCCTGGAATGAAGTTTCTACACCAGACTTTAAAGTTTTACAGTCTGACTGATGAAAAAGTCAGTTAGATAAGGGTGGGAAGTAGATGCAAGTTCTAAATTGTGTTGAGGGATGAAAATAGGAAATGCTCAGGCTCACCCTTGCAGCAAGAGGCCACAACGGTGAAACAAGCAAGTGTGTGCTAGAGAAGTCTACTCATGAGTCAGCTTGCATTTCTTTCATGCTGATCTAAAACCAGCAGAGTGGACATTTACCAACAGCCTTGTCCTTCCTTAGAGGTTTGTGCTATGTGCTTCTCATTGTGCAGTCAGAACTATCTGGGCTTTCATAGGCAAAACACTCTCTTCAGCATATGATCTTGAAATGAAAGCACTTGATCTTCCAGGGCTACTTTAAGTGTCCTAATCTGCAGTTATACCACTTCCAGCAGATCTACGTTTTTGCATGCCTTTCTTAGTGGCGTCACATATTAACCCTATATGAGCGAATCTGTGAAGGGAATAGCAGAGACTTAGGAACTGCCTCACTGATATGCAGAATTCCCTGACCCCATTCCCTACTTACTGAATTAGGTGTAAGGGGGGCTCCCACCACATCAATGATCTGCTCCTTGCCATCCCCCTTGCCCTCTTCAGTGCATACGCCTGACTGTCCATCAGTGTGCAAGCCTCCATCTGTGCTGGGTCCTGTGTTCCCTGCCTTGGCCAGTGCCTCATAGCGGTGGCGCAACATCTGTAGCTCATATTCACAGTTTGCAAAGGCTTGCTTGAGCTCATACAGTAGCACTAAATCACTGCGCAACTCATTGAACGTCTGGACAATCTCCTCTGTCGGCATTGGATTCAGGTCTGGAGAAAGCAAGAAAAAAATGAGAAAGACAGCTGCTCTGATCTCTGCCTGCCTTTCTAAACAAAAACACCAGCGTTATTTAATTCCACATTTAATGCAGTAGCAACTATTGAACTTTTCAGTATGTCAGAGCTTCTACCACTCTGGCCACAGATCATATGGAGAGCTTGCCTTCACTTCTTCCAAGGCCTCAAAGCTACTTCATGCTAGGCAAGGGTGAAGAGCCTACATGCCTGATCATCTCCAAATGCAAGTATTTATCGCACAATGCCATATTTGCTCCACAGCCCTAGCTAGCATGTATATTTAAGGATCTTGCACACACTGGGCAAGCAAGGGGTATTGCAGCCGGGCTGAGTAGAGGTAGTTTTGGATTTTGTCAACGGGAAGCCACTCTATTTGGAAGGCATTCACAACATGCCAGCCAGAGCCTCGCACAGGGCCGCAAGGAGCTTTCTGAAAGAGTACTGACAAGGAATCCAAAGAGCCAGTCAGAGTCTCCCAGACAATGGCCACTAACCCCTTTCGAAGTACTTCTCCCTGCACGAAGAAATTTGCGTCCTTAATACTAGGCTGTCACTCTTGATGGCTTAAAGAACCCAAATAAGAGAGAAAGAGACAAAGACTCTGTTCAAATGCTTTTCTACTGGGAAGAATTAAACAAAAAATCCTGTGCATCATCTTTTGGCTCCCCCCCCCTTGCTCTTTAATATTTTTTTAACAAAACACATAAGATATTATTTTCAAACCCATTCACATAGTGTTATTCAAGGAACTGGCTGTATTACTAGGGGGAAAAATAGCCCCTCTCGACTACAAAGGCTCTGCTCCATGGGTCTCTTTTTCTCTCTACCTGCCCTCTTTACTCACCTACTCCGAGTTCCATCAGCATCTGCTCCAAGGCTTTAATCTTCTTCTGTCCCACGGAGCTCGGCAGTTTCATCTGGAATACAAAGGTAACAGCCACACAGCTCTGAGCTAGCCCTCACTCACAGCCGCCTAGTTCAAACGGCGAGGGAGCTTTGCTTTTTATAGTGCACAGGGAAAAAAGCAAGCCAAAGAAAGAAAGAGAGAAAAGGGAAATCAAGTGCTGGGAGAGGGAGGCAGAGAGAAGGCCTGAAAGTTTGCAGACTAGGGCCAAGGGCAGGGACTGAAAAGCCTGGTCGCAAGGGCTTTGCAGTGCTCCTGGTGCCAAGATGCGGAGCTACACAGCTTTACAGTTTCCATGTGCAACTGAATTAACAACAAAAGTTCTGCTCTGCTTCGAACCCTCTCCCGCAGTGCCCTGCCCATCAAAGAGCTCAATTACACAGCAGCTAATGTGCGATGCTGCCCTACTTTACTTGCTCTTGCTAGCCTGATTAGACTCGTGCACTAACAGACTTCCTTCTCCCTTTACCTGCCGAGCTCAGAGCCATAGGATTCATTTACAGAGCCAGTTTTCTAACAAAAGGCGCAAAGAGACACAAAGAGCACACACACTTACTCAATTGGCAGAGTGTGAAAACACAGTCATGTTGGAGCTGAGGGGGGCATGGGGAGCAGGCAGGGGCAGGGAACCCAAGCTGCGCTTGAGATCATAGCTAGCAGGACCCCGTCGCTACCACCCTAGGTGCAGGAATGGAGGAAAGGACCAGGAACGCATGAGAAGCAAATTAATATGGGAAATGGGTCCTGCAGTGCACAAGGGGAAAATATCAGCCGAGCTAACATTCTGCTGGGGCTTACAACAAGCCCACATATCACCCCACTTGGAAGCTTTCTACTTCTTGCCCTTTTCCTATACTGGCATACAGACCTGCTTTCCAGCTCTGCCTAGACAATTCCTAACATGAGAGCAGTACTGCTTAGTCCTCAAAGGAGGACTATAGATTATCATCTTTCTACTTGCCTTACGATTTTGAGAGGAAGAATTTGAAAGACACCCCCCCAGCCACTTTCAGTCTCTATTCAGCAATATAATGCAGAGGAGATTCACACCACCAATTTACAGGACAATGCCCCTTGACAGATAATTACTAGAATATGACAAAAAGCCTCTGTTTGTGACTGCTAACCTATTACAGGTGTAGTTGCACCATGGAAGGGATTGTCATCTCAAACTGGTCTTCTCAGCCACACTAGATGCTATTCCAAGTCCTCCATTCAGAGCACGTTACCATAATCTCTCGAGACTGAAGGATGCCTAATCTAAAAGTTGCACCATGGTACAAATAACGAGGTTGTGCAAAATCCTCACAAGCCCTACTTGGGCATTCTCTCTCCTGAGCACCCACCTGGTGCAATTACATGAGCAGAATTTACGATAATCTCCCTTGTATCCCCATCATTCTCTCTCAGGTACAAAGGAGGAAATATCTGCAGCAGGGAGCCAGCCCCACTGAAATTTTGCCCTCCCAACATGTATGTCCAACATGTTTTGGGATGCAAGGACAGGAGGCCAGTTTCAATGGATTCATCCCCACTCTCACCTCCCCATAACCAAAACTGGGTAAGAGGGAAAGACCCAATTGGAGAGTAGAAAATCTGGAAAAGCACAACACACACTCTGTAACTCAAATTCAAGTACTCCTGAAGAAACAGCTGCAAGAGTGGAAGTGAAATTTAGAGGAACCAGTTTTAGATAATGCACTCTTAAATCAATTCAGCCAACAGTGACCATCACCACCTCCTAACCAATGCATGCCAAGTTTTCCTAGTGCCTAGCCCTTTAGAGCAGTGGTCCTCAACCTTGGGCCTCCAGATGTTATTGGACTTCAACTCCCAGAAATCCTGGCCAGCAGAGGTTATAGTGAAGGCTTCTGGGAGTTGTAGTCCAAGAACATCTGGAAGCCCAAGGTTGGGGACCACTGCTTTAGAGCAATCTATCTAACACTCAGATATATTCTAGTCAGGGAGGATATGGAGAGTTGTATGGAAGGAACAGATCTGCAGTAGGCAGGGAATGCTTTTTCTGCATCATCAGCCCAAACTTTGTGATACTCCCTACAGCCAGAAGCAAAAAAACCTGTGACAGGTCAAACAGGTTCCTGACGAAATGTCAGGAATCAATCAGGAAACACAACAGTTTAGGAACTAGAAAAGACCCTTAAGAGTAAGACTGTGTACCACAGAATAAAACCAAGATCCTCCATACTATGGTGTTCAAAATTACAGCATACAGATGTAAAAGATGGACAGAGAAGAAAGTGGATTAGAAAATAACTGATTCATTTGAAATTTGGTGTTGGAGGAGAGCTTTACAGATACCTTGGACTACCAGAAAGACAGAAAGAGGTGTTAAATTGACCCTTTTCTAGAAGGAAAATGACTAAACCAAGGTTACTTTAAGCATATCATGAGAAGATGCAATGAAAAAGAAAATAATGCTAGGAAAAACAAATGGCAGCTGGGAAAGAGGAAGATCAAACACAAGATTGATTAACTCAAGAAAGATTGTTCTGCCAATGGAAGCTCTGTCAATTGTGGTTGAAGAAGACATCTAGCCAATGAGGCAGTAAAGGACTAACAATTGGCCCAAATACCTGAAAATGCCCATCTTTATTGCCATGCTAGAGGCTTAAGGAGTGGGAAAGACAGAAGCATTTGCAGATGACTTGGTGTTTATATTGGAAGACCAATTGAAAACAACGTCAGGATTATTGGAGAAAATCAATGAATTTGGAAAAGTAGCAGGATTGGAGATAAATAAAAAACTAAAGTTATAGTGAAAAACTTAACAGCCAAGCCAAAAAAAAAATCAACTCTCAGAGATGTTAGATCTACAAATAGTTAAAAAAAGTCAAGTACCTTGGAATATATTTAATTGCCAGATGTGTAACTATAAAAGAAGATAACTATATAAAATTACTTAACCAAATAAAAAAGACCTAGAAAAATGGAAAAACCTACAACTATCACTATTAGGAAGAACTGCAACAGCAGTCTGGATAGTTTTAGATCCACCATAAGAGTGGAGAGAAAATACAAGACTAAACTAGAAAAAGGGGACGTTCTGAGTTTACTCAGCTTTCAAGAATATCAATTAAGCTTTCCTTTAATTTTGGGGGAGGACTTGGCCTGTGAACATGACAGCTCCATTGGCTTCTTCAAGCAAGAGTATATTTTAATTTTACCATCATTAAGAAAACGTTGTGATTTATGCGGCTGCTGTCGGACTAATATCTTTAAAATTTAGCTGGCTAAACCAATTCATCTTTAAGACTGATGAAGGTTGATTGCTCTCTATGCAAAATGTATTAAAACTAAATGAGGAGTCTATTACTCACAAAGCACTGATAATCCGTTAGGTAGGCTCCGTTAGCCTGGTTGTCTCCACAGCAGGGAAAAGGACCAATGCTCCATTCACCTCTGTGGCAGATGGCACAACCAGGCAATAAGGCTGCCATTATGAAAAGCTGCAGATCTAGAGTGCAATCAAGTCTAACACAAACACGGGGCTATGCCTATGACAAGCAGGACTGTCATTCATAAACTCAATGCTATCTTCCGGTTCACACGAAGACCTATTAATCTGGCTCTGTGCAGAGTACCACTCACAAGGAGAGTCTATAACAGAAGCTGCTTCTCTTCCTGGATATTTTCTGTTTCGCCTCAGAGTTCTACCAGGTTCAAGAGGGGTTCAAAACTATTCCTGAGAAAGTGGATGTCAGTGTTTGTGATAGAATTCACTGAAGCTTTTCCCCTGTAGGTATCCCAACTTACCCCAATAAGGTATCCCAACTTACCCCAATAACAGGGAAAGGTGTTTTGTCCTAAATCACTGGTTCTTAACCTTGGGTTACTCAGGAGTTTTGGACTGCAACTCCCAGAAGCCTTCACCACCAGCTGTCCTGACTGGGGTTTCTGGGAGTTGCAGTTCAAAAGCATCCGAGTAACAAAGGTTAAGAACCACTGTCCTAAATAAACATTATTATGACTATGAGAAACACTGCTACTAGCCAGTATTCTAAAAGACTTGGTCATGACATAGGAAGAATGCTTGGATAATGGCAAAATAACAAAGTCTACATTGACTGTTTAATAGCTTAAATCAGACCATTGACAATATGCACCTTATGCTCTGATCAAACTCCTTCCTGACCTGTTAATATTAAAATCACAACATGCAAGCAAGCTACACAGAAACAATTACCTCAGGAGGTGGTGATCACTTCAACACTGGCATTCAAGAGAAAATTAGACAACCTTCTGTCAGATCCGCTTTGACTTGGATTCCTGCACTGAGCAAAGGGTTGGACTCAATGGCCTTATTAGCCCCTTCCAACTTTATTATTCTATGCTTCTATGAGATTTTCCTGACAAACTTTAAAGCAGCTCGCTCGTTCTCTCTCTCTTGTCCCACAAAAACTGAAGGCAAAAATCATACAATTGGTGTGCCAAACTGATCCTATCTTACTTGACAGTCCAACAATGGTGCCACAATGTTCTAAGGTGATCATGTGAGATTCACATCATATACTATACAGTACTTGGTACATTAATTCTTCTTGTTTTGTGCTGTCAAGCCTTCCTAGGGTTTTCTACATATAGAGGTAGAGTACTCAGAAGCAGTGGATTTGATTTAAAATTTTCTTTTTTTAAAAAAAAATCAAATTTATTTTTAAAAATCATGATTTAAATTGTAAAAAATCAGATTTTTTGATAATTTAAATAAAAAAGTTTTAATTTGTGATTTAAATGAATTTGATTTTTTAAGCATTGATTTTTATCCACTCTGCTCAACAGTGATTTACAATTGCCTTCTTCTCAGTGCTACATAGCTTGCCCAAGGCTACACAAACCAGCTCTTCTCCCAGATGTACAAGGCAAACTCTCAACCTCTGCAGCCAGTACCAAACTCACACTTACAACACAAGAATTAGAAGTAATCTGCACAGTAAGTGATATCATGCACAACTACCTTTCTTGGATTTGTTCATGTCTGAATGTTTTCTCTCTGTT